CTGCTCCACCTATTTGCACTCCAACAGCACCCTGTTTTAATTACCTTTATACTATGTTTTAAAAGGAGCCAAGCCCATCCCTTTTAATTCTTTTTCAAAATTTCCCGTCAGACTGTGCTTCTAGTTGAACTTTAGAATCAGCCTGTCAAAGTTCCATGAAATATCTTGAAATTCTGACCAGGTTTCCTTTTGGACAGAAGTGGCATTTTTACCACACTGAGTCTTCCCTTACTAGAAAATCCTTTGCTGCCCCAGGCTTGCTTTCATTCAGTCTCACACCTCATACAGTGCCTGGCAATGAAGGACATGTTGAATACTTTTTAAGTTTCATATTTTCTTTATATAGGTTTGCATGTATTTTGTAAGGATTATTTTTATATAGTTTCTGTTTTTGCTGCTACAGTAAAAAGGACCTTTTTCCCACTGCATATTCTAACTAGTTGTTGTTGGCATCTAAGAAAGCGATTGCTCTCTGCACGCTGATCTTGTATCTAGCCACCATACTGAACTACCATTTCTTTTTTTTTTTTTTTAACATTTTTTATTGATTTATAATCATTTTGAACTACCATTTCTAATAGTCTCTTAGTTCTCTTGGACATCCAGTTTAATAATCACACCATCTATAATGCCAGCTTTCTTTCCTTGTAATACAAACACACTTGACTTCTTCATAAAAATGTTTTGCCTTGGCTAGGCCTCCAGAGCAGTGTTAACACAGCAGTGACAGTAGGCATCCTGGTCTTCCTGACTGTAAAGGAAAGCTTCTATTAAATATCTATGTACATAACATGTCATTAAGTGTAGTAGTTTTTGCTGTAGGTTGGTAGTAAATATTCTTTATTAATAATCTATTTTTAAGTTGCTAATAGTTTCCATTTATTAATGGGAACTGAATTTTATTCACTGCTTTTCTGCCATCTATCAGGTCGATCTTACATAGGTAAAGTAGTTGGCCCAGTGTCAGTAAATGTTAGCTCTTATTATTAAGGATAAATTTCCTAATGTAGAACCCTTCACAAATAATGTACAGAGAGGACAGCAAGCAAGTCCACAGGAATCAACCACTAAAGATGGGATGGATTTCTAAAAGGTTGCTGTGATTCGTAAACTAATGAATGGAATTTGGGGTAAGGGGCATAAACTCCCTTTAAAATGGCATAAAATTCTAGGTGTGTGTGGAATTTCCAGGAGAGAGTTCACAGCTTTTCCCAGAGGGGTCTATGTCCCAGAAAAGTTAACCTCTATTTTAGGTGGGGGGAGGGCTGAGGAAGAGAGGAAAACAGGACAAGGTAAGAGCAGATTGCCATGGAAAGTTCACTGCAACTTGAAGGGAGCCAGGCACCCTGGTCAGTGGAGGGTCCAGTGTCAAACCAAATGAATGACAGGGAAGGAAGTCCCACCTTTAACTTTCCTTTGTTCTCTTTCAAAAATTCAAATACATTAACCAAGCTACATCTGCAGAAATGTATAGACAGACTTCTCAGAGCAAGGGAAAAGATCAGCACCCAGAGAAGGGGTGCTCAGATGGTCCCAAAGATAAGCCTCATCTATAGTATGCTTTTGTGGGCTGAGAGTAAAAAGACCCCACAGACCAGTCCTGGTTGGTCTTTTTGTTCCTGACTCCTGTTTTTAAGATAATGGATTTCAAATTAGTTCATCTCATAAATTTCTAATACTCTTTATCTCCAACAAATGGTGGCCAAATGGACTCAGTGACAAAAAAAAAGTTGTAAGAACTGTTACGAAGAGAAAAATCAGCAGGCGCAAAAGAAAATACAAAAGAATTGGGGGAGACAGTAGGCATAGCTAAAGAAGAAACAGGTGTGGATTCAAACAAATGGCTTTTGGTCTTCAGAGACAGCACCAGAAGTCCCCACTCTAGGAACAGAAGGGTTCTTCTATTCTGCTTTAGGTATTAAAAATGTTTGCTATTAATTTCCTCTGAGAAATGACTATATAAGGACCATAAGGGTTCAAATATGATTAGCCACTGTCTCCTTCCATACAGGACTGGGTCATCTTTGTCCTTTCTGGAGAGTGTAAGGCTGGGCCCTGTACTCTGCCCACACGTACAGCAACTTGACAGTAGTCACACCACCAACGCTTAGAGAAAAGCAACAAACATGCTTCTTACCTGCCTAGGTGTTCAGAGTTCGGACTGACCAGGTACATTAGATTCCTGAGAGTATGCAGTGGTTGTAATTGATCTAAATTTACATGCTAGAAAAAGCAAAACACTGATTAGTATTTTCAACCATGTAACAAATTAAAAATTAGCTTATAGCACATTTTCCATACCTGGGAAAAGCACAGGTAAAGAATATTTGCATTCAGTTTCTTCACTGCTCGAGTAAATTTCTGTCTGCTGAGGTTCTCCCCACAAAATTCACTGTAAAATAAACAATACAGTTTGTAAAGTTGTAATTTTTGAGGAAATTCTGTATTAAAATGTTCGTTTTGAAGAGTATGCTTTACACTACAATTCTGCACAAACCATAGCCCATGTCCTTTGCCTCTTAATAAACTGTACTTAACAGAAACTTTCTAAGAATGAACTACTGCCTTCATGGAGAGTAATTTCACTGCATCCATAAAAATAACAAATAAATGCATGTACCCTTTGACCAAGCAAAACTTCTGAAAACCTATTCTACACAAATACTTGCACATTAGTGAAACAACGAATGTATAAGATTATTCCCTCAAGTGTAAATAAGGGGCATAGGGGACTGGTAAAATCTTGGCAAATCTGTACAAAGGAAAACTCTGCAACTGGCCACGTTAAGCAGAGTGACACTGAAGGCCCACAATGGTCCCACAATGCCACCGGTGCTACAGCCTTGTCCCTGCTGCCCTGTTCTCTCGCTCTCCCCAGGCTCTGCACCTGCCCTTCCCCTTGCTGGCAGCCTTCATCCCCAGGGATCCCCATGGCTTGCTCCTGGCCTCCTGCAGGCTCACACATGATCACACACCTGCCCACTCAGACATGATAAGCCCTTACTTGCCCCCGCATTCCCTCTCTTTCACCTGCTCTAGTGTTCTCCCCAGCACTCAGCAACACCTGACATACTGTCTGTTTTTCTATGTGTCTCTCCATTACAATTAAGTGCCAAGAGGGCAGGGATTATCTTATCATCACTGTTCCCCCTCAATGCCTAGAACAGGGCCTGGCACATAGCAAGTGCTTAATAAATCTTTGTTAAATAAATACCTAAAAAGCAAGGTGCAAAACACCTTAGTTTAACCTGATAACTTTTGTGTTTAGGGAGAGGGGGTGGAGAGTAATAATACATATTTATATTTACTTGAAATACAAGGATAACAGGAGTGGGTAGGAAGGTCTTAGCAGGAACTGGGTGGACTATAAACCTTTACAACTTTTAAAGAATTTTGAACCACTTAAATTCAAGTGTTACAATTTACCCAGTTATTACACATAAGCAAACCTTCAGAATACCCTGTTTTTCCTTCAGTTATCTTTCCACATGGGAGAATTCTGTGGTCTTCCCAAAGACTTCAAGTGCAATTTTAAGATAATGACCAATTGCACATTAGACTTTTGAAATCAATGAGGCTTACGAAATCATTCTCAGTATTTCATGGTCAGACTTTTTCCACCTTGGTAATACTTAAATTCTTGTTTTTGGTTTAATTAGAATAAGTAAGAACACAATAGAAACATGAGAGAACCGTGAGAAAGATCACATCACCACCTTTAATTACTTGCCTGTTGCACAGCTTTTTGGGAAGATTTACGTCGAGTATATGAGACAAAATATTGACCAGCTGAGTCGCGTAGCACAACGCAGCACTGATCGTGTAAGCAGGGTTGTTATGCTCCATGTCTAAAGTATAAAAACAACAGCCATGCGCCAAACTTTAATTTCAATAAAAATATTCATGAACCTAGACTTTTTATGATTTGTGGTTTTATCAATACATTATCGATAACTATGTTTTACTCTTTACTAATAAAAGGTCCATGCCAGACGTTAATGTTTCATCATTTATGACTTTTGCTGAGTGGAATTAACCTAAGCAAACAGGCCTAAATGGACCCAACATAAATGAAACTGAAGCCTGAACTGCTTGGACCTAATAATGTATTATTTATTAGAACAACTGATGCCCTAGTTAAATGTCACCTCCTCAGAGAAGCCTCCCCTGACTACCCCACAGAAAAGTAGTCCCTTCCTCTGTAGCCCTGTCCCATGATGGTGCTGCTTCTGTCGACAGCCCACACTCAGCACATGACGCCTTTGGTCATTACTTGTTTGTTTTCCTCTCCACAGAAAAGCAAAGAGCTACACCTGTCTTGGTGACATCACCTCTGTATCATCAGCTCCCAGCACTGTGCATGACAGTAGGAATACTTGCTAGATGACTAAACGAATAATCTTTCTCTATCAAAGAGAAGCTACCAGAGCTTTAAAGGGTTTTTGTACTGGGGTATTTCAAGCTCCATTTAGGACTGCTACAAGAAGTTCTTTACCAAATTAGAAACTATAGAAGTGAGACCCAATGGGCTAAATACACTTCTTTAAACAGTGAGATTTTTTTATATAAATAAAATAATATTGATCTCAAAAGGTGAAATAGCTTAAAAACAAAACATGTTTTCAGTCCATCCACTGATAAACAAAATGTGGCAAATATTTGCAATGGAGTATTATTCAGTCATAAAGAGAATGAAATGCTGATACATGCTACAATGTGAGTGAACCTTAAAAGCATTATGCTAAATGAAAAAACCAGACACAAAAGACTATGTATTGTATGATTCCATTCATATGAAATATCCAGAACACACACATCTATAGAAACAGAAAGCAGATCAGTGGCTGACAAGGGCTGGGAGGAGAGGGGGATGGGCAATGACTGCTTTAAGCCCGAGTTTCCATCTGAGGTGATGAAAATGCTTTGAACTAGACAGAGATGACGTTGCACAACACTGTGAATGTACTAAAGACTACTGAATTACTCACTTTAAAACTGTTCATTTTGTTACATAAATTCTGCCTCAATTAAAAAACATGTATTTATAAAAATGTTCAAAGATTATTTTGCCTCTCACCAGGCCCCTGCGTGGTTTTCTTCTCTTCCACCCAGTTGTAGTAGGCAGAGTAGTCGCCGTTGCTGGGAAGGCTAATCCAAGGCCCTGTGATGCTAATGCTGGTGTCTCCATTGTGATCGTCACAGACCCATCTCCCCGACAGATAAGTCGTCCTCCGGGCTTCGGCTAGCTTGCTCACGGTGCTGGAGGTCATGGCGCTGTCACTCTCTGAAGACACATCTGCGGGGTCTCTAAAAACCAAAGAGGCATATAGATGTCAAGGGACTGGGTTTTAAAGAGAATGCAGTTACTTGGCAGATCGGGAGAACCTTGGCAAGATGCATGCAGGGACAGGAACTTAACTGGAATATACAGAGATAAGCAACTCCATCAGAGATGAGGATCGCACCAGCAGAGGCGACACAGAAGCCACGGCAGTGTGAGGAGACAGCACCACAAACAAGGGCCTCATGTTTTAGGTTCTCAAACTATTTGGTCTCAAGATGCCTTAATGTGCCTAAAATTTTTTTAAGGATCTGAAGAATTTTTGCGTAGGTGGGTTAGATCTAATATCTACTGTATCAGAAATCTGAGGGAAATTTTAAATTATTAATTCATTTGAAAATAATAAACTCATTACATGTAATGAGCATATTTTTATGAAACAACCTGCGTGTTTCAAAACAAGAAAATTAGTAATCCAACAAATAAAGCTTTTAAACCCTTAAAAAAAATTAGTGAAGTGACATTATTTGTTGACCAGCTGAGTCACACAGCACCATGCAGCACTGGTGAATTTTGAAAATCTCCTTAATACCCAAGTCTTTCAGTTGCTTTTTCAAGTAGATCTTGTGTCCTGTGGGAAAAACCAACTAGTTCCGCCTGCAGCTCACTCAAGGGCTGTTCCTTGAGCCACTGCGGCACCTCCGCGTGCAGCCAACTAGCCTTCCGCAGACTTCCCATCTCGCCGTACGGCACAGTTGAAAGATGTACATGTAGAAGTCAATCATTTCTACTGCCTTATCAGTAACATTCTTAATGTGAAACTGGCTGGTTTTTCATACTGCAAAGACATGGCGAACATGACTATGACTACAGTTTGGTATCACTGCCTTGAAATCTGCCAAGACACTAGAGCTTCTGCCCACCATGGCTTTGGGGTCGCCAGTGCAAATGTCAACACAGCGAGAGAGGAAAATAAAGTGTTAGTATCATTATAAAAATAGTTTTGACTGCACAGACTCTCCGAAAGGGTCTCAGGGACCCCCAGAGGTCCACAGACCACACTCTGAGACCTGCTAGCCTAAAGAGTGGAATGTGAATGAGAAGTCACGGCAGGTCCCACACAAGGCAGGGAGAGAACATGTGTGTCTGGGGAGCAGAGAGGATCAGTGTGGCTGCACAGAGGCATGAGAAAGTGCTGGAAGATGGTGTTGGAAGAGTGGGACCGACTGGGAAGGGTCTTCTGTGTCATGCTGAGTTTAGATTCTGTTTTCTTGGCCAGTGGCTCTCAATGCTTCTTCCTTCTGCCACAAGTACACGTAAGGTAACTCCTACTGGCTATCATGGGTAAGACTGGAGGGAGGGAACTACGCCCAGTGCTGAGCTGTACCTCTACTTCTTCCTTCCTCCACTCAAGGAAGTTTGAGAAATGTGAATGAGCAAGCAATCCTATTACAGGGGTAACTTGAAAACTATCAGCTTAAAAAAAAATGGTTTACAATAATACATACTAATATATAAGATTTAAACAGCCCAGGTATGGAAGAGAGAGTTTTTCTCTTCTTTGACTTTGTGTTCAGTTGTCAGTTTCCTTACTGGAACAGCTATGTTTACTGTAATGTGCTTTAACATCAACATCAAAATGTATTTTGGCATGATGTCTCTGTTTTGTCAGCTTTTTTCTCCCCAAAGGCATGGCCAGCTGTCTTTATAAACCAATTTTTGGATAATCCAATTTTTCCCCACTGATCCAAATGCCACCTTAGGGTCTGTTTCTGAACTTTCAACCCTACTCTATTTTGAATCTGCCTTTTTATTTTTATATTTGCCAACTATTACTAATGACAAATTACTTGGTAAGAGTCAGAGAGCAGGTTTTCAAGCCAGAAGCAACAACCAGACCTTTAGGCTTTCAGGAAGCTAACTCTGGCCACAGATAAAGGGACAAGTAGGGGCAGCAAATAGTTAAGTCCCAAATAGCTACAGCCCACTGACTGCCCAATTCCAGGGAAAGGTGCCAGAAAGCAAGGGCAACCAGAAGAGACAGGAAAGTCTTTAACTGGAACAGCCTGATGGTTAGTGAGAAAGCAAGTGAAACTCTTCAGGGGTAGTTTCTGCACCTGGATGGTCATCAGCACCATCTGGGGAAGTCAAAAAAAATAAAAGTATAAAAGAGATGGACTGGGAGGCTGAAGGTATTTCTCTGGAACCGTTTCCTAAAGTTCCTGAGTGCCTTTGATGGACAGTCAGGCAGGCACCACTGTCTGGTTCATCCCACTGACCCCTGAGGGTACCCACGCATGGCAGCCCAAGACGCAACTCTGAGTATCCAGTGCCTGACGTGCTAGTCACCAGGAAGAGGCTGAGTCAGCGTGTCTTCCCACCAAGTAAGAGACCCCGAGGTGTTTTCTTCCATCTTAGCTCATGCTTTCTCTGTGAAGTAGGCATTCATCATTCCCGTCTAACAGACAAGGAAGTAAGACTTCAAGGCTCAAGAACCTGCCTCACAGCATTTAACGAACACATAAACAGCTAACTGGCACTGCAGCTGACATCAGCCAGACGTTCCATATGAGCGTGAGTCTGCACCTCATCTGGATGCTCTGAGAGTACACAGGCTCGGGTCCCACTTCTCTGAGGGCCACCGCCCTTCACCCTGCCCACGCCCCCACCCCCCCAACTTCATGCAGTGTGCACTGTTTGCTGAAGCTGATAAGACTTAAAGTTTCGTTCCAGGAAAACCAATGAGCTCAGAACAGTGCCCAATAAATGAGGTGTTGACATGCTTAAAAGATACTTGATCTTTGGAACTGGAGTTTTCCTTGAGTCAAAAGGCTAGCTTACTGTACCTCACGCCAGTCTTTACTTCCTCAATTGGAAAAATGACAGAGGTGAGCTCTAGTATGTGAGATCGCCGAAGGTTTGCCAGACGCTCGTAATGACTTTTTAAGTCAGTGGTTTTTCTTTCTACCAGGTCACCAAGTTTTCGATTGTGCCTCTGAATCTTCTCCTTTTTCTCTTGATGCCGTTGTGCTCGAGTATAAAGCTTCTGATTCTTTTCCTTGGTTTTGAGGAGGCCTTCAGAATCTAAAATAAATAAATCACACCCAACAATTATCTCTACAAACAGTTCCTGGGTACTGCAGACTGCCCCCTCCCTAAGCATCAGTGCCTTCCTGCAGTCCAAACTGAAAGTAAAACCTCAATAAAGTTAACTGGATGATGTTCACTAAGTGGAGACTGAGAGTTTAGTTCAAGTAGGTATTACACATAGAGCAAAAGGAACTGCCACTAAAATGACTCTGGGTCTTCATTTGTAATCAACACCAGTGAGCATCACTCAACAACTATCAAGTTTAAGTTTAGCACTGGAAGCACCTTTATTATAGTAAGCACCAAAGAACAGCCATGTTGGGCAGAAAAGAGATGTAATTCTAACTCTGAAAAACTTATCTGATTTTCCTTAGAAATCTCTTAAGTATGTCCTGGGCTACATCCAGAGAACCCAGTAGGTGGTTACACAGCAAAGAAACAGACCAAGGGCTCTGAAAAGTTACAGTGGAGTTCAGCCCCCCGCAGGGTAGGAGCACCTACCATACGCCAGCATTTTAAGCACTGCAAGGGCAGCTAGAACCTTGGTCTACACAACCAAGAAAACAGACACTCATCCTGCCCAATGTATGTTCTTTTGATGGAGCTCCTTCAGGTTCTAGGTCCTAAGACCTGCTACCGGTATCAGGTTGTGGCTAAACTCCTCTAGAGTAGCAACAGGTTGTGAAATCTCAGACAGATACCTTGGGACAACTTAGGAGGCTCAAACAAGTTCAAAATCAAGCTCAATCTTTTTCCAGGAAACTTTCCTCTTGACACATTTTAAGCTAGGTTCCCTACTTCATAATTATTTTTGACCTGTCTGCTGTCCAAATCAACCCCTCGAGGGCCCATTCCATGAGTGGTCCTACAGTTCCTTGCATCAAGACCTTTCTTTTCATTCCCACTATCACAATCCTAGTTAACTCTCACCAAAACTCTGCCTATCTCCAGTTGGCTCCACTCCATACCTTCACGCCCCCTTTCCCTGGCTCAGTCTTCATGAGCCATTAGTTCTCCACTGCTGTTAAAAATACATGTCATTTATTTCTTCCCTGATTGCCTTTTAGTGCAGTAGAGCACCCTCTGCATGCACTGAAGAAGAGACTTCACTTCTTGCTTTTGAAAACAGCATGAGAAACATGTTTTTCATCCTTCCTCCTCAGCTTTGATGTGTAAAAATTTTCCATGGGGGGGGGAGGGGAAAGCCTTCTGATTCAGATTTAAAGATAAGATTTAGCAAAGTGACTAAAATGTATTAAATAATGCATTACTTTATCTGCATTTACAGGAGTCTGGGGGCGAAAAGGTGTAACAAGAGGAAGTTGGAAGGTCATCGGAACCACCCAGAACAGTGCTATGCAAAGCATGGCCTGTGGATCTGGGCCCATCTACAGACCCTTACCAGGCACAAGAAGTACAGAAATACAGAGTAGGTTCAGGCTACTCGGCACTGCCATGCTATCCAAGTGTGCCATCATTTTTCTAGTAATTTATTTTATTTTACAAAAATATTGGTTTGAGTTTTTACACATAGGAAGTGAAACAGAAAAAAGTGGTCTTTCACTACAGACAGTTTAAGAACCACTGACCCAGTCCTGTCCCCATGCATGAGATTTTAATTTACTAAGTCTGGAGTAGGTCCCATGATTCTCTCTATAGATTTTTAAAAGGTTACCAGGTGACTCCAAAGATTTGCTAGGGATGGAAACCACTATTTTGGGTCTACTAATTTAGAACCGTATCTTTTATTTTCTATGGTTGAGGCTTTCGTATTTTGGAGTTAGGAACCTATTAAAAAGAGCTGATCAACATAACACTGTAATGGGGAGTAGTAGAACCAAGAGCTCACCTCCTCTCACAACTACAACAAAACTGTAACT